ACATTAATGTGTTTAGAAATCAGTCTGTAAAAAAGATACAGTATTTGTGTTGTAGATTACATTTTAGTGGTATAAATTGTTACTAGTAAGTCACCTAAAACCACTCCGAACAGCCCGCCCCACAGCACCCCCTTTCCCCCCCCCCACACCTATAAAATTAGCGTGTTTCCATTTTAGAAGGTATTGTCAGAGGCGGCTCTATAATTAGGCCAGTTAGGTGATCACCTAAGGAATCTTATCAGGGCCTTGCTTTATGCCCCTTGCTGTCACCATAAGCACATCAACCAGGGCCTCATATTTAAATGTTCTAATTTCAGACCAAAAGAAACAAACTGGAAACATTCTCTATATCTGCTATGCTTCCAGCTCGGCTACTTTGGCCTTAAATTTGACAATTCTCACTCAAGTGCACTGCTTGAACCTGGGTAAAAAAGTGAGCACATCCCAACCTATTTAAACCATTGGATGATAGTAAAGGAAAAATCACTAGTAGAGGCCGTGCCACATCTTGCGCCTCATATTCTTTTATATATTTAATTGAATAAAACTCCTGTAGAAAGGCTAAACTACATGATGGATTGACTTTCAGATATTTCCTAGTCTCAGTGTCTGCAGCAACAAAACTCCCCGGATTGCAAACCTAAACAGGGGATCCAAAAATATCTTTATATTTATTGAAGTGTTTTCATTTTATGGTTTTACAATGGTTTATTGCATTATCTATTATTTAAAATGTGATTTGCTTCCCTCTAATTTTTTTTTTTTCCCCGCTGTGAATCACCCTTCGAAGTCTGGAATGAATTTCAGTAATGTCATCATAACCATTTGTTCTTTAACCCCTTATTGACCACATGAAGTCGTATGCCGTCATGCAGTGCAGGATTTTAAAACACAGAGCAGACCGTTATGCAGTAAAAGTACAAGCAGGGGTTAAATTCCTGCTGGTACCAAGGAACCCCAGGTATCTTTTGATACCTGAGGGTCCTGCTGTCAGCTGGGGCCTCAGTTAGTCACAGTCACTCTCAAAGTGAGCACTGCTCATAGCCCATTAAATCTTTTTACATCGTTTAGCTGTGGTATTTCTAAGTGTGCCCCCAACCTGCTGCATTGAAAAAAGAGGTGTCTCAGGTATCGTTCAATTCCTGGGGGTTTTCTCTGTTAGTTACGGCCACAATTACTGTCCCAAAACTGACAGAACAGCTATGTGCATTTCTCAGAGTAATCTTGCTAAACAACAGTTTAAAAAAAAATATGTTATAGTCTCTCTCAGTATCAGGGACCCTAGTGAGGTCTTCCTACCTGACCCCTGCTCATGGATCGGTGCTGGGCTCTGCCAGCTGTCCGGTACCAATCCCTGTGTGTAGGAGCTGTAGGATTAAAGGGAGATCTCCCTCTCATGCTGCAATCACACAGTAAAGAGTACTCACAGAGCCCTCTGTACTGTGTGAGCTAGATAGGAAGCCCCTCTGGTGATGTCAGTAGTGATGTCAGGAGAGGGAATTCCTCTGAGATGGGATTAGGGATATATATTATGAGATGTTTAAAGGGCAGGATTAGGAGTAGGATTCGAAATATGATTATGGATAGTATTACGGGTTCGTTTAAGGATAGGATTAGGGGTTAGATTATGGGTAGTATTAAGGGTTGGATCCAGGGTTGTTTTAAGGGTTTGGATCATTGTAATGGAGAACAGTAGCAGAATACAAATATATGGTGTTTGTAGTATTGGGACACATGTGGCCTGTGAATTGCCCCAAAATAAAACACATGAAGAAAAAAACAAAAGCTTAAATATTTTGACCTATGTTTGTGATAAAATGGTTAAATGCTTAGCCTAAGGAACACACTTTCTACAAATATACAATTTTGTGTAGTGGTTTTAGATTAAACTATATATATTGTAATGCCAGCAAAGTAAATTTTGCAAATGTATATTTAAAACCATAATGTAATCCTTGCTGTATACATTCTGAAATGTATTGAAATCCTAGATGTATTGGCCGTTTTAACAATCAGGACTAATTAGTAAATCTATTTTGAGTTAGTTTTCTTTCGTTGCAGTTTGTGTTGAAATTATTAAAGGACCACTGTAGGCACCCAGACCACTTCAGCTTAATGGAGTGGTCTGGGTGCCAGGTCCCTCTAGGATTAACCCCTTTTCTTATAAACATAGCAGTTTCAGAGAAACTGCTATGTTTATAAATGGGTTAATCCAGCCCTCAAATCCTCTAGTTGCTGTCTCATTGATTACATTGTAAATGCTTTCCTATGAGACCGGCTGAATGCGCGGGCAGCTCCTGCCGCGCATGCGCATTCAGCCGAAGAGGAGGATCGGAGGCGGAGAGGAGGAGGAGAGCTCCCCGCCCGGTGCTGGAATAAAGGTAAGTTTAACCCATTTCCTCGCCATCCAGCCTGGCGGGAGGGGGACCCTGAGGGTGGGGGCACCCTCAGGGCACTATAGTGCCAGGAAAACAAGTGTTTTCCTGGCACCTTAGTGGTCCTTTAATGAAGTGGTCTGGGTGCCAGTTCCAAGTAGGATTAACCCTTTTTTCTATAAACATAGCAGTTTCAGAGAAACTGCTATGTTTGTAATAGGGTTAATCCAGCCTCTAGTGACTGTCTCATTGACAGCCGCTAGAGGGCTTCCGCGCTTCTCACTGTGAAACTCAGTGAGACGACGCCAGCGTCCATAGGAAAGCATTGTGAATGCTTTCCTATGGACTGGCTGAATGCGCGCGCGGCTCCTGCTGCGCATGCACATTCAGCCGAGGAGGAGGAGAGTCCCCTGCCCGGCGCTGGAGAAAGAGGTAAGTTTAACCCCTTTCACCCCCTAGAGCCCGGCGGGAGGGGGACCCTGAGTGGTCCTTTAAATGTTAAAATGTGTGTGTTTGTTTTTTTGTTCTTTTTCAATTTTTTAAAACATTTTATTTCTATGTAATATTGCATTAAGTATACATATAGGGTTTCAAAAGTAAGGGCCACTACCAGTTTAAAAAAAATGAATATGCATGGGTGCACTTAAACAGAAATTGTCATAGAATGAACGCATGGCAAAAAAAGGCCCAATAGGCCTTGTTCACAAGCACGTCGCAACTCAGAATGGTCCTTAAGGGATTAAAGGTCCTATTCTGAGATATATTGACTAAATACTAAGTGGGAGTAACCTTCTAGAGAGAAAGTGTCAGGTTACTCTAATGAAGGAGTGGGGTTAACCTCCAGGTAGAATTAACTTTAAGGCGAAAAAAAAACACACATAAGGGTAAACCATTTAGGAAGTTAACCCTTTTGTGCCTGATAGTTTTAGCAATATTGCTGAAAAGATGCCTCGTAAGACTGAGCTTCTATGGTGAAAAACAGTCCAAACCAAAAAATGAGAGAACATAAATGAAAAATAATTAAAATTAAAGTTAAGGAATAGATAAAGTATGGCTGGTAATGTCAGAAAGAGGTCTCAATTCATATTGTCCCGTATCTTTTGGACCAGCATCATACTATACGTCCCGACGCACATTTCGCCGTTAAGGCTCTGGTTTGGACTATTTTTCACCATAGCAGCTCAGTCTTACAAGACATCTTTTCAGCAATATTGCTAAAACTATAAGGCAGTTTATTTAGAGGAGGAGAGGGCAAATAGCATTTTTTTTAAGGGGTGCCCTCAAAGGCATAATAGAGTAGAGAATCCTATTACCTGCAGGACTTGTCCCCCGCTCTCTTTACAATCAGCTAGTTCTATGTCTCCCCTCCTGGTTAATACGAGATGTTACAAATGTAACCTCTATATATTTTGTTACATTTCTGTTTCATATTGCTACGTATGGTGTGATCACCAAACCATTAACCACCTATTTATATTTTTTTTGTTACCTTAGTATTTTTCACTTACATTATTCGTTGTATTTATTTATCACAGATACGTTATATATTTTTTATCTTTTATCATTAAGATTAATTTGCATATTTATTTTTTCCATTATATTCCTTTTTTTTGGATTAATTATTCTTGTAGGATTTTTTTTCCTATTATAGATACCTATTTTATTCACGACACGTGTTTCTAGAATATTTTAAAATAATCATATTAAAAGTGATGTTTTATTTATCTTTGGGTTACTCGTTGCACAAAAGGGTTAACTTCCTAAACGGTTTACTCGTGTGTGTTTTTTTCCGCTTTATAGAGATATAATGACTCAATTATTATCTGACTGGCCTGCCTAGTTGATTGGAACTGCCAGTACCAGCTGGACATTCTATGATGGGATATAGTATTCTGGGACTAATTTTTAAGGACTACAATTAACTTGGAAACTTATGGAGGTAGCTGTAGAATGTTTGTTAATGTAGGTCAAAGGTTTTTAACCAAAAGACTGGGACTCAAAAATGGCTCCCAAGCATAGGCGTGCGCATGTGGTGTGCCGGGTGTGCCTGGGCACACCCTAATCCCCGTGGCACGCCTATGGTTTGAGTCCTGCAGGAACAGCGCTGATGCCGGGAGCCGGAATATGACGTCATATTCCGGCTCCCAGCTACAGCAGACAGCCCGCGCGGCGAGAGGGAGCAGACCGCAGAGAGCTCCCTCGCCGCGGCTGAGCTGCAGAAAGGCGCCCGCCCCACTGGACCCCAGGGAAAAGTCCACCAGCACTCCAGGTAGGAGGCTGGGTGGACATTTGTTTTTAATTGAAAATATAATAATTTGTTCTTGTGTGTGAGTGTGTGTGTATGTGAGTGCGTGTGTCAGTGAGTGAGTGTGTCTGTGTGTGTGTCAGTGAGTGTGAGTGTCTGTGTCAGTGAGTGTGTCTGTGTCAGTGAGTGTGTCAGTGAGTGTGTCAGTGAGTGTGTGTCTGTGAGTGTGTGTGTCTGTGAATGTGTGTGTGTGTGAATGTGTGTGTGTGTGTGTGTGTGTGTCAGTGAATGTGTGTGTGTGTCAGTGTGTGTATGTGTGTCTGAATGTGTCTGTGAGTAAGTGGGTGTACGTATATATGTATATGTGTGTATATGTATGTGTGTGTGTGTGTGTGTGTGTGTGTGTGTGTGTGTATATATATATATATAATCACACACACACACACACACACACACACACACACACACGCGCGCACACGCAGAGCCGGCGCTATCTGAGTGCCGGCTCTGCTCTAAGTCTCCATGGGCTGGCGGGGAGACCAAAAGATCTACCTCACCGGCCCACAGCAGCATGGAGGGAGGCAGGAGAGGACCCAGGGAGCTCTAGACAGAAGCTCCGCCAGGTTCCTCTTGCGATATCTGAGTGTTGCTGCGGCAACGCTCAGATCTCGCGAGAGTTAACTCTAGCCCTGCAGGCTAGAGTTCACTCTCCACTGGACCACCAAGGATGGCACATGGCAGCAAGGATTTACTAATCTGCCAAATCCCTCCAAACATACATACAGCACCTACACACATACAGCTCACACACACACAGTACACTAACCGCACCCTCACAAACACACACAGCACCTTTAAAAAAACACAACACCCTCACACACAGCACACTAACAGCACCCTCACAAACACACACACACACACAAACAGCACCCTCACAAATACACGACACTCACACAAACAGCACCCTCACAGGACAAACATACACACACAAACAGCACAGTCACAAACACACACACACACACAAACACCCTCACATCACACTAACAGCACCCTCACACACACAGCAGTGTGTGTGTGTTTGTGTGTGTGTGGATATATCTATATATATATACACATATATATCTATATATATACACATATATCTATCTATCTATCTATCTATCTATCTATCTATCTATCTATCTATCTATCTATCTATCTATATATATATATCCACACACACACACGCGGCGTGTGTTTGTGCTTTAGGGTGCACACCCAAATGCAATAGGCTGCGCACGCCTATGCTCCCAAGTAATATAAAGGGTCTGGATTAGTGGGAACAACTGTCTTCTCTACTGGTGGTGATGTCCTGTGACTCAGGAAAGATGCTAATTAACATATTTTGCAAAATATTTGTTTTGTTAATGTTAAAGGGGCAAACTAAGAACCATAATCAGTACAGATCATTGAAGTGGTTATGGTGCTTTACCGCTGATTTCCACACCCCGTTTTATTTAAATAATTTTGAAGTAGAGAAGAACCCACTCTGCAGCCTCGCAGATAGCAAGCAAGATTGATTCCTGCATTCTCTTCCATAGTCATCCTACCTTGGGTAACAGTTATAGACTATATCCCAGCACACTGAGCAGTTCAATTTTATGTTGCACCATTCCAAAGAGGTGTAAAAGTTAATGGAGGGACTGCATTGAAAACTGTACCATGAACCATTACATTCATGATGTAATGAGATCTAATAGAATTTCCTGCTTAGGTTTTCGTCAAACATAGTGGAGTGGTGTCTGACGAACCCCAAGTAAGAAGTCAAACCATTGTAAAATGGTTTGACTACTTACAATGTCACCTAAAATTGTCCAATTTGGAACTGTACGTATTGAAATCATTTTACATACCCTGTTTCCCCGAAAATACACCCTACCCCGAAAATAAGCCCTAGCCGGATTATCGGGGTGGGCTGCAATATAAGCCCTACCCCGAAAATAAGACCTAGGCATTGCACCTTTGCGGCCCGGCGAGACTTCCTTCTTCTACCGTATAAGGAGGAGGGGAGGAGCGTTGCGGGCCGCGGCAACGTGATGACGACCTTTCGCAGCGCCGTCAGTCTCCCTTTTACGGATCTTCAGCGGAAGGATCCATTTCCGGGCGGTGAGGCACCCAGTGGTCGGACTCGGCGGGCAAGGAATCTTTGAAATGTGAGTAGATATTTTATGTCTGGGACTGAATTAATTAAAGGGGGTGGGGTGTGTGAATTAATTAAAGGGGGGGCTGGATTAATTAAAGGGGGGTGGATTAATTAGAGGGGGGGTGGATTAATTAAAGGGGGTGGAGAAAAGTTGTTTAAATGTTGTTCAATGTACATACCGGTACCATAAATAAATAAGCCCTACCCTGAAAATAAGCCCTAGTGTGTTTTTTGTGACTAAAATTAATATAAGACCCGGTCTTATTTTTGGAGAAACACGGTAGAGAATCATATTTCGTTTTAGCAGAACAAGTTTAATTAATAATTACCTATATCTGAATTTTGTACTTTATATAATATTATAACTCATATATAATGTAAATGTTTAAAGTTATCAGTTTAGTACATACTCATGTGAATAATGTATAAATGTTTGTAAAAGGATATTTTTCAAGCCTCCAGTAGAAGGCGCTAATTTGCAGCAGAAAATAGTGCAATGTGAACCTTTTTAAGATTTTGCAGCTAGTTTACAATAAATGAAAAATGTAAGTTTTATTCGACCTAACCTTACATAATTGACATAAATTAGTAGCTTTATTTATTTAAATTAAAATTCCATAATCGTTGGTAGGATTATCAAATAATTTATAGGGACACATTTTTAACAACGTATTGCAGTGGTAATGGTGCAAGGAAACTATGAAAGCAGTTCCATCATTTTTGCCTAGCCACAAAAACAAAATGCAGGAGGTCTCCTCTGCACCCAGAGTCTACTTATCTGCTTATATTGCAACTTTCTCACCATCTGGCCAAATTATGCACATACCAGCTAGCAAGATTTGTCCATTATGAAATATTCCCCCTTGATGTTAAAAGACAGAAGGAGTGCACCCTTAACCTTTTTGCATCTTAAAGAGTCTCATAACTCCGAAGTGGCCATATTTAAGAAGGACAGTCCCTAATTTTGTCCCAAATCCATCTGTCCCTATTTTCTATCCTGGTGTCCCTCTTTTATAGCAACTCCATATTGTTGGTGTGTCTGGGTGTATAACAGAGCTCCACAACAATAATACTCACAGTAATGTGTATTTAAATTACAATAAATGTGTTTAGAAATCAATCTGTAAATCAGTTGTAAATTACATTTTAGTTAAATAAATTGCTATTAGTAAAGCACCTAAAGTTGATCAGAACAGCCCAGCAGCCCTTGTCCACACCCCCAGTCACAACCCCTAAAATTATAGCATCCATTTTTGTCCATTTGAACTGTTGGGAGGTATGGCATCATAAACACTTCATCTTACTGATGTTCCCGGGGTAACTAGACTCCTATTATCACGGCAATGCTCCGACACAGTAGTGCCGGAGGTTGCAAGAACTGGGATCTCCGCCTGCAACTGGCAGAGGGGCAGGTCTCCATAAACCACCAGACCACCAGGGTATTTTCAGTGTCACCCCTCCCTGCCCAAAGGTAAAAAGAAGGTGGTGGGGGGAATATAATATTTATCTTTCAATTTATAATTAATTTGAAGAATATATATATATATATATATATATATATTATTTTATTTTTATTTTTTATTCAACTGCCTGTTCTCAGACTGTTCAACATTACGTACCGTTGTGCATAACATTAGCACTTAAGAGATTTGCATCACAGCATCAAGGTCATTGTATGTAAGCTAATATTCAGTGCAATGTGTATTGTCCCAAATCTGTATTGAAAAAGTTAGGTATCAGTTTGAGTTCTCTTAAAGGTTTGTTAATAATCAGTTTTGGGGAAAAAAAATTGGGACATAATGTACAAATTTTGTGTAATGTACAAAAACTGTCTATGTAATGTATTACAGATAAGTCATATGATCAGAGACCATTGTTATGTCAGGACTGTTAACGGTTAATTTTACGATCGCCACATCCCAATGTAGAGTTCGTATACAACAGCTGTATAATATAGCAACACTGTTGCCTCGGGGATCTGTATATTATATCATTTTGTTCAACAGGTTTTAATTAATATTTTAACAAGACCTAATATTAACCTTGCAAAATCACCAAGGATGAATTACAATATGGTTAAGTGATGCAGGAGAACCAGTTTTATTGAAATTTATGTTAAAAAAAAAAAAAGAGACTATAAAGTCTGAGGTTGTTTTCTGGTCCATCTGAAACACAATACAAGCTCTGTTGCTAAGGGTGGCTACAGAAATGTAGGGAGAAGTCTAAAACATGATTTACATGCTGAGCTGGGAATTCTTGGAGAATTAAGGAAACATGATTTCCCTAAATTACTTTGCCCAATGCAGACTAAAGGTCTTACCGAAAGAGGCTTTGTCAACCAAAAAAAAATCCAAAAAAATCAGTGTTTTATAAGTATTTCATATTTCTTTATGAAATTCGCATATTGATTGAAAACAAAATCTAAGATAAGATAAAATAGAGACTACTTTGTTTCTAGGCTCCGTTTGAAGTTCCCAAAACATGATTAAAGCCTCACAGTAGGAAAGGTTGCATCTCTGTTTTTTCCTTGATTCCACAGTAAACATATCTGAATATTCATCCTGCACTGTGTAGCCTGTGACTGTTCACTTTTTGACTGAAACATCTAATTATACAAATTGCAAGAGCCACTTCAATACACCAAATTTTAAGTTAACTATACACCACAGTGTGAAGGAATTCCTAAAACAGTGAATAGTGCATGGAAACATATAGTGCTAGACAAGATCAGTATAGCTAAGCTGTTTAAAAAAGTACATATTGTCAAGATAAGCTGCACATTTTTAAAGGTAAGGTCTAAAATAAGCGTGTCAAGGTGCTATTAAAGAGCATGACATAAGTAATAATTCTGACATGTATTAGAGAAGAATATATATATATATATATATATATATATATATATATATATATATATATAATTCCATCTGGGGCACTCTGCAGTACAAAGCTAAATAGGGCCCTGAAATTTATGCATGTTCAGGTGAGTGCAGCCAACCCCCCCCTTGTGTTATATATATATATATATATATATATATATATATATAATATTTGGGAGTCTAGCCAACTCCTTGGTTTTGCACCCCTCCCTGTCACAGGTGCCTCATCTCAGGGCCCTATTTAGCCTTGTACTGCAGAAAGCCCCAGATGGAATTTTTTCCCCAAGTAAGTGAGTTAATCTCATAACAGCAGACATTAGGCTATTGGTGTAGGACCTGCCAAAGATGGGGTACATTGACGTTGTGGCAGGCTTATGCAATGTATGATCATATAATGTAACTAAACCCCC